AATAAATCAGTTTTATTTAAGAAAGGACTGTATCGGTAAAGTTTTTTCGGAAAGAATTTTTACGGAAAATTAACTAACGAACGGAGACGTAACAGTACTTATACATTAAATGTTGAACGCGATCACGTCTCATTACTGAAGATGAAAAGTCGTACAGAAATAAGTCTGTTATCCAACAATTTGCCATTTCAAAACTTCATATTGTTCGTAAGTTAAGTGAGAATCTCTTAAACTGAAAATTAATATATAATGTAATTGATACTTGAAACCTTCGGTTCTTGGTAAAACACCATTATTACAGAATTAAGGAAAGAAACAAAGACAATTGTACGTTTAAAAAAACTTCACTCATTAACGATCATGGTTTCGTCATCACTGGTGAAACATGAGCGTTAATAAATGTAGTTTTTATGAAACGTACAATTGTCTTTGTTTCTTTCCTCAAAACTACTAAGTCAAACACGTGCTAACAACACGATAACAACGACTGTAAAATTCATAAGTATTGTTGCGTCAGCGAGGTCACGTGACTAGTATCACGCCACATCCTTCTAGAAATATCCTGTTCCTTCATGAATGCTCTAGCGTTTACTAGATATGTTTACAAGATATATATAAGACGGTCACAACGTGACGGGGGAAGGTGTGTAATTGAACTGCAGAGAGAGAATATTGTTGAGCACGTGTGACGTTCGATGAGTATTATAGCGTTATAGTACGACTGTTGAAATTAAGTGTATCGCAAAGTTATATTCAGAAAGAATAAACCAGTTTTATTTAAGAAAGGACTTGTGTCGCTAAAGTTTCGTCGGAACGAAGTTACGGAAAATTAACTAATGAACGGAGGTGTAACAGTATATTGTGAATCAATATTAATATGATATTGTATATTAGTTTCAAAATTACTTCGCAATGCTAAAGCATGTTGCAAGTTATTTTTAACAAAACTTTTCAACTTTTGTTAAAAATGCACTGTACGTCAATGTTAGAAGCGTTTTATAAATAACTGCCAGAAGAATCTTCTACTACAAAAATACATACATGTTTTAATTTTTGAAGTATACTTTAATATGTGCGTGTTTTTATTGGTTTAAAGTAACGTAATATTTTATTATTACTATTTACCGTGGATGATTTGAACATAATACTCTTAATTATTCCATGACTGATTTCAAACCAATAATATATAAAAAAGTGTTTGAGAATCTGACCTCCTCTTAAATTGCCCATTGCGGATTTCAAACTGGGGGTGAATGAAAAGTCACCATTTCAAATCGTTCTTTAGTCTAAGAAATAATTATTACTCATAACGTATATTGCTCAGAGCTACGCCACGGCAGTACTTTGTATGTGAGAGGGCGTTGTTGATTTTGTAGCGCAAAGCTGCATAATGGACCTTCTGCATTCTGTCCACCACAGGGAATCGAACTCCGCATCTCAGTATTGGATGAACAAAAAAGTGTATTAAGATCAATATGTTTGACTACACATATTAGTCCAAAAGAATTTTCCTGCTTCATCAATTTTAGTTGTGTTAATCTTAATTTCATACTTTATTGTAGAAGTTATATTGAAGACAATTGTTTGAAATACAATCAACATTACTGTTAACAGTATGATGTGCTTTGGTGTACTGTTTTATGATATACTATTCTCAGAAATGTCGGGTGTTTATAAAAAACAACAACATCGCATTCACAATGATTGTATCTCAAAAACGATTTTTCCGGGACTAAATTTTAACAAACGAACATCTGCTATCATAATACTCAGTTTTGTCTGTTATAAAACTGCGCTCGCACTTCATTTCCACTGATGTAAACAAAAGTCGGATGCAAATATACTCTACTAAATATTTTGTACAACGTATTAAAAGCTTATTAAACTTCAAAAAAAAAAAAGATCTAACGTTGGGTCGTAGAATAACAATATAAGTTTATTTATTGATACTATTGAGTAAGGTAAAGTTTAGCCTTAACTAAATTAAAGCAAAAACATACACAAGTTACAGTGTTAATTCACCTATTTATCGAATATAGGCCGTACTTAATAAAGGCTTAAATTACGTTAGGTCTAAGACACGTGGACTTGCAGATTTCGGTGTCCGAGTTAGAAATATTTTGTATTATTCTACAAGTCCTGTATTTAAAGAAGTACTGTTGCAAAAGAAATATTAATTTAACAGCAAATGTTTTGTGGGTCTCTGCTAGTCGAAAACAATAAGTGTTATTCAAGACAACTTGGACATGACCCACGTGTTTAAAAAGCTGTCACAGAAGATGTTCGATATACTCTTGATCTTGGCAATAACCTACTTACTGACACGCATTTTTGCCGAATAATCAATCTCGTAGTCTTGAAAATGGGAGAAAGAAGAGAAATAAAAGCGACACTAGACTTCAAGAAAATTATTTAAGAATGCAGAATAATATGCTTTTGAAACACCCTTTAATTTTATACTGTATTTCGGCATGTGTTTAAAAGTTTTAAGAGCAATAAATAACATTGACAATCTTTTGACTTTATAGTTGATTTTGTGTGTGTGAGACCGATCCACGGTCCCCACTAAAACCGCGTTTAGGCCTCAGTAAAAAGTTTTATACTGTGTAAAGTCAAACTTTGTCAGCACTATTTATTGCTTTTAAAACTGTACCATGTTTAAACTTTCGATTATTAGTGTGCCTCTAGTGATATTTTAGTTTTCTGGGACAAGTACTTTTTAAAATATAATAATTTAAAAAATGAGATTTCTTTATAATCACACTATATCTGTTATCTACTGACAGATATATATTTTATAACGAATACGTGCATTATCATCATAGAAAAACAAAAACAAAACATTAACAATAGCCTGATAGGTCAGGAGCTATTATTAATAAATAGCAATGTAAACAAATAAATAATTAATTTTAGGATTTTAATTTTTGATTGGATGATTACGAAACTGTTTTTGTAATGTAACACTATTGTTATGGAATGTGACAGTATTAATAATGTCATTTCAAACCCTATAGAAATGTTACTTTTTTGCAAAACAATGCACCTTTCTTAACAGCAGGTTAAGCGCTTAACTGAAAATTGAATTTTAACAACAATACTTTGTAAAAGAGGACGCATTCCGAAATATATTGTAAATCCACACACACTCAGATATATATAGCACTCATCGTTATTTTGAGTAAAAACCTACCTTTTAAAGATAATCCGAAGCAGAATCAAGACTGACACAAACACTTTAAAAGTAATGTTTATATTTGTTTTTCCCAGTGCTTTATTATTTTGAGAGTCTAAATTCTTCTCCCATTGCCTCATTTTAGGATATCTGATCGATTCATCATAAAAGCGGGAATGGATGGAAATGAAAATGGAGACAACAATGTAGACGAGAGTGGAAATACGTTTGAAGCTGACTATAGAAAAGTTTAATTATTCTGCTATTTCAATAGCCGATTACGTGCTAGATATATGCGTAAAATATAATGAATATAAGACGAATGTCAAGTTTAAGATAAACCAGAAATAGTATGCTCCTAATGGCCATATTTTGAAATTGCATCGAGTGCAAAACGAAAGTGAAGCGTAAGTTGTACTGGAATTGAAATTGAAAATGAATTTGCAGTTGGTCAGAGAAGCTGTCCTAGCTGGAACCTAAATGAAAAATATGAAAAAACTTATAAGGCATGACTTCTTAAAAATACAATAAAACTCTTCTTAGCTCCATTAACACAACATGAGATAGATATATTATACATATATCGAATACGAGTTTATAGTAGCGTCTAGGATTATTACGGATTACACATAATTTGGAAATATTGGTTATTCCCGAAACGCTAGCTTATAATTCATAAAGATTGTTGTTATAATATTAAATACTTTTTGTTTTAGTAAATACAAATACTCTAACCCAAATCTCTCCTTCCTTCAAACGTTAGGAAAATACAGCATCAATAAAGTATTCGGAAATCTGTACTACATAAAGAATTATTCTACGTAATCTTAAGTTAAGCCTAGTTATTTGATTCTTGAAAAAGAAAAGAAAAAATAAAACATTTTTCCAGATTTCCCCAAGTATTCGATGTTCTGAGTAGACAGTTTCTATTTGTGAATTATGTTATTTTTCGTAAGTGTAAAATTATGTACTTACACACATGTGAAGTTTTGTAGTTAAGTGCAATACTTTAACTTCTATACTGTATCATAGTAACCTATAACAAGAAATTGATCAGATTCTTATTAAATCAATCTCTATCTCGAACAAGTTCACATGATACTGGCAGGATGTACTCAACATTAAATATTTGTTTCAAAATGGCAAGAATACCTACAAATTAACAAGATTATACGTATGTGTATGGTAAGCGTGTTTTTCTATTTTTATTCAACTATATAAGAGATCCTTATAATCTGGTTATCAGGTTTCTTTAGTAAGATACTATCGAGATCCTTATAATCTGGTTATCAGGTTTCTTTGGTGAGGTACTATCACTTTGCGATCCAGACTGCTTTCTAAGTATTATATAAATGGAGGATATTGTAAATATTCGAGGACTAAAAAAATCTACGTGATTCCTATAAGACCTACATACGTCTACTGTAAAACATACTGGGAAATATATTTGGTGTTTATAAGGGTTATTTGGGAAATGCAAATGCTATACAATAATGGCTGGAGACGGCTTGAATGGGTAATGAAGAAAACTTTAATATAACTTTAACATAACAGCAAATGTACAACGTTTCGACAAGGTTTTTTCATCATTCAAGCCGTCTCCAGCCATTATTAGTCTCAAAGTGGGTTCCTCGTCATCGAAAATGCTATACAAGTTCTATAATATTTATTAAATTAGTAACGTCTGTTTAAAGTCTATATAGTTCACTGTAAGCCTGTGAGGAATTTGTGAAATCGTTAAGTCGTTTAACCTCCATAACTGAGATAACAATTAAGGGTTTTTTATATTATTCTTTGTACCCTTTGTGTGCCCCAGCGATGAAATTTATAAACCGAATAAAGGCAAACTCAGTTCGAGAAGTGCTCTTGGACATTTTCTGTATTTTTTGTAAGGTTGAAGAGCTATGATTGTATTATACTTTAGAAATTTTCTTATTGTTTCTTTTGGAAGATTTGATTTTCTTTATCATGGCAAAACTGGAATAAATGTGAACATTTACAGATATATATACTTCAAATACCAAGAACCGTAAGATATTAAAAATAACAAATATTTCAAAACTGAGAAACTTTTAAGCGTAAAAGGTATTTCTCTCGGGTTTTTTGGTATTCTAATGTGTGTAGGAATGGCGTCTTGCAAAATAGAATTCGATATTTGATAAACACTGAAATGTAGGCAACAAAAATATATAAAAATTATCGTTATTCTTGAAATCTAGTTTGCTGTGGAAGCAGCTGAAGAAATTCTCACAGTCGAGCAAGGAGATGATATAAAACCTGCCAGATGAGATGATAGATTAGGCTAAAGCTGCCAAAAATAGAAGAGAAAGATCTAGCATATATACTAATGTGTACGAAAGTTGATTCCTGTTGAATATTCAACAGTTTTAAACGTCAGCCGAGATTCTTCCGGAAATTTCAAAGAATAATTTCAGTTAGTGTGAAGTTGAACTTCATTGGACACTGTGAAATCGGATATAATATGTAATTTTAAATATATCTCGATGATACTGTACTCGTTTCATTCAGTTTAAGATATAGCTTTTTAATATCGCATCTAGACTGCTTATTTGTTTATTCTGACAATCATTTTCGTCTTAATGTTTCTATAATTCCTAGAACTTTTGATGTTCTATCTGCTCTGATTACCACAGTGCTACGTATTTTAAGAACGTCTTTTGTACTCTTATAGTAGTGTTTTATTGTTGCTGTGGTGTAGAATGAATAACGTTGAAAAATATCGTGTTAAAATGCAAAAAAACTGAGTACAATTTGAATGCGATTTCATCTTTTGAAGGCTATAATTCCATTAAGTTTATGGAATTCTGCTCCAGGTGGACTCTCAGATTTTGGATGTATTAGAAAAACGTGTGAAAATCTTTAAGGAGACAAGTTGTCTTTAATTGTTTCGAATAGCTGAAAACGACTAAAAGTGAAGAACAAAAATTAAAGGAGCATCTAAGATGTTTGTGTGTAATTCTGTATATTTACAACCTGTCTTTTTCGAAACGTTAACAATCTGGTCATTCAGTGTTCGTGATTTCTATTTTGGGAACTACATAACTTAAGTCCATCTGTGTGTGTGTATATGTGTAGATGGCAGGTCATTTGGTTCGCATAAATGACCAACAAACTCCTAAAGCTCGTCTGTATGGCCAGCTGAAAACGAATAAAAGGCCACACTAGAAACTCCAAAGACACTACAAGGATATGCTTAAAAATCATATTTAAGTATGCAGTATAGATGAAAGTACATGTGGGAAGTTGGATTCAGATCGCACGAAGTGGGGAACAACATGCGATGAAGGCCTCGAGATACTGAATAGCCAAAGTATCTCTAATACCTAAATAAAAGAAAAGTGACAGCTGTATCACCGTGCAATGTCAATGAACGCTCACATCTGCAACAAACGTGGCAAGGGCTTTCGTGCCTGAATCGGACTAATCTCGCATATGAGACGTCATAAGTCTGTTGCTGAGAGCTCATACAACTTTCCGATGTAAGACCCAATCACATATATGAACATCTCTTCACTCAGTTCTATTTATATTTAAATGTCAATATCCAAGGAAAGTTGCCATCAAATAATAATAATAATAGAGACGACAACCTCCAAGTTTGGATGTGTTTCTATATATGGAAGCGTTCCTCAATCTTTTTGTTACAAGGTACCGGCTAGCTGCCACCATAAACTGTCGAGTACCATTAAAATACAAGTACAACGAAAAACCATTATCATTCACATGTGAATATTCGTTTGTTTAAGTGAAATTAAACGGATCGGTGGCTTGCAAACACTGTTTCATGGAATAAAATATAAGGGATGTAAGACAAGAAGATATTCCAAGAATCAGAGGCGTCGCTGGGCACTGGCACACGAGGCTCGTGCTCCTATTGTACTTGGCAGTGCCCCGAATCCTGAGTTGGTGTCTTGAAAAATAAGAATAGAAAACCATGATCGATATCATTCTGAAATGCCGAAAATCTCCGTGTCTATGGTTTGAGCCCCGAATCTTTCAAGTACCTAACGACGCCTCTACCAAAGACAGCAAGCTTTTCAAACAAATGTAACGAAATGAAGTTGAAGAAAAATATTTTAATAACCTCTACATGTAGCCATGGAATCAGTAGTACTTGGTAACTTCTACATGTAGCCATGGAATCAGTAGTACTTGGTAACTCTACATGTAGCCATGGAATCAGTAGTACTTGGTAACCTTGACATATAACCATGGAATCAGTAGTACTTGGTAACCTCTACATGTAGCCATGAATCAGTAGTACTTGGTAACTTCTACATGTAGCCATGGAAT